CCAACTATGCTAGCACCCTAATCTTGGACTTTCCAGTTTCCCGATCTATGAGAAATACATTTTTGTTGTTTTAGCTACCCATTCTTTGATATTTTGTTATGGCAGGCCAAGTTGACCAATGCAGCTATTTAAAACTAGTTTGGTGGTGTTAAATTTGTTAGGATGTTTTCTAATCTAAATTTTGATATATTCTGGAAATATTACAGGCACACTTGAGAAAAATGTATATTCTGCTGCTGCTTGGTAAAATGCTCTGTGTGTGTCTGTTAGGTGTTGTTGAAGACCTCTGTTTCTATATTGATCTTCTGTCTAGGTGTTCTATCCATTATTGATAGTGGGGTATTGAAGTCTCTTACTATTATTTTTGTTGTCTATTTCTCCCTTCAGTTCTGTCAATATTTGCTTTACATAGTGATGTGTTCTGTTTTGGATACATATATAACTGTTATATCTTTTAGTGAATTGACAGTTACCATTATATAATGTCCTTCTTTGGCTCTGTGATGGTTTTTGACTTGAAGTCTATTTTGTGCAAGTACAGCTACCCTTACAGTCTTTTGGCTACCATTTCCATGGAACATTTTTTTCTATCCCTTCATTTCCAATCTATGTATGTTTATAAATTTGAATTGAGTTCCTCATAAATAACATATAATTGGGTCTTATATTATTTATGTATTTTTCTGATTCAATCACTCTGTCTTCTTTTGATTGAAAAATCATTTACATTTAAAGTAATTATTTAATAAGGATGCATTAATTATTGTCATTTTTGTTACTTCTCTTAGTTTTGTAATTGTTTTGTCAGTCTTTTCCTCTCTTGCTGTCTTCCTTTGTGTTTTGTGATTCTTTTTGTGTAGATACACTTTAATGGCCATCTATTTTTTTCTTTTGTGTAACTGCTATAGGTATTTTCTTTGTGGTTAATAGGGGGCTTACATAAAATATTTTATAAGTATAACAGTCTATTTTAAACTGATATCTTAGTTCAATAGCACACAGAAACTCTACAGTAAACTACACAGTCACACAGAAGCTCTTTACTCCATCCCAAACTTTATTTTATTGCTGCCACAATTTACATCTAATCATATTGTGAATATTTTAACATATTTTAGTATAGTTATTGTTAATAGTTTGTCTTTTGACTTTTACATTGATTTAAAAGTCAAGATTACTATAGTAATCATTTCACTATGTATATATATATCAAAACATCATGTTGTTTACCCTGAATATATACAATAAATTTTTTTTAATAAAAAATGTCATTTATACACCATTATTGCAATAATATAGTATCTGTATTTATCTATGTATTTACCTTTGCCATCAAGTTTTATACTTTCTTATGCTGTGATGTTGCTGTTTAGCATCGTATCATTTCAACTTGAAGAACACTTTTTAGCGTTTCTTGTAAGGCAGGTCTATCGGTGATGAACTCCCTCAGCTTTTGTTTGTCTGAAATAGTCTTAATCTCTCCTTTACTATTGAAAGCTGGGTATGGTGTCATCTGCTGTTAAAGTGCTTTATTAAATTTTTAGTTGTTATTGTGTCCCTTGGTTCTATGATTTCTGTTTTGGTACTTTAAAAAACATTTTCTATCTCTTTGTTGAAATTCTAACTTTGTTCATGTATTGTTCTCTTGACCTCAGTAAGCATCTTTATGACAGATTATTTTGCATTCTGTGTCAGGTAAATCATGTAACTATGTTTGATTAGGGTCAAGTTCTGGACATTTATCTTGTTCCTGTGTTAGGAATATCTTTGTCTGATTCTATTAATACATTTTTCTTAATTCTCTGTGTTGATGTTTGCACATTAGACCAAAGAAGGACCTTTCTCAGTCTTCACAGACTGACTGTATATAGGAGAAGACCTCTACCAATGAGCAAGGCCAGAGATTCTGCTTCCTCTACTAACTCTTTCTCTCTCCATGGAGAAACAGACAGCTGTGATTTTTGTCCACTCACTCTGTGCTTCCCCAAGGTGCAGAACTATTGTGTCATCCAGTCCAAACTACTATTTCTCTTCTCCCCCAGATGGCTAAACTGTACCAGATCTTTCAAAGATCTAAGGCCAGTAAGTTGGATACCAGTTCTTTCTGTAGTACTAGAGAAGTTGGGGTGCTGGGCCCATGGATCAATTCTTTCTTTCTCTAGATGAAAACTGAGAGTTGGAATATTTTTTTTTCTGGCTCTGTGCTGAGTAGGGGAAGTGTGTGTGGGGGGGTAATATATGGTGTCTACCCACCAAAACCTCCATCTCTGTTCTTCCCTGGGAGGCTAGACTGTGCCAGACAAGTCAGAGCTCTAACACTGGCTAATTAGATGCCAGTTCTTTAGAGACCCCTGGAGAAGTTTTGGCATTGGAAGCACCAATCAATTTTTCCCTCCCCAGGAGAAAGCTGAGAGCTTGGATTTTTTTTTTTGTCTTCTCACTCTGTGCTGAGAAGTAAAGACAATCTATGGTGTCTAGTCGAAGCGCTGTCTCCATTCTCTCACAGGTGTCTAGACTGTGGTGAACCCAGCAGAGCTCTAAAGTAGTTAGATGGATTCTTTGGGCAGTCCTGGAGAAGCGGAGGTGCCAGGCACATAGATCAACTCTTTTCCTTCCTAGCAGGAAGCTGAGAGCTGGAATTTCTTAACCTGCTTACTCTTTGCTGAGCAGGGGGATGATTTATGACATCTACCAGCTCAAGCCACCATCTCCATACTCCCCAGAAGGCTAGACTGTGGCAGACCAGTCAGAGCACCAAGACTGACAATATAGAAGCCAGTCTTGTAGAAAGCCTCTCATAAATTTTGGAGCACTGGACACAGAAATCTACCCTTGCAAGTACTGGGTGAAGCTGAGAGCTAGAGGTTCTCTTCCTCATTGTATGGCAATGAACTGGGGGCAGGGACTACACTGAGAGGGTATTCTGAATCTCCCTACCAACTTTGGTGATTCTGATTTTGCATTTTTCCAGGGTGGAGGAGCCTTTCAATTGGCTTCAGTACTTCTCACAAAGAGAATTTGTCCACAAATTGTTGTTGAATTAGTGTGTTTATGAGGACAGGAGAATGTAGAGCTTCCTACTGTGACATCTTGCTGATGTCATTCTGTAGGAGATCTTTAATCCTACTTAAATTTTCTATTTTAGAAGACACTTGCCCTTTTTAATGTTTATGGTGTACATTCTGGTCTGTTTTGTGGGCTGAGTTCCAGTAAAAGTTTAATTTCGAGAGTTCTTTTAATGTTATTCTGATTTGCTTTGCTTTTTTGATTCTGAAGGGATTCTAGCTCAATCCTTGCTGGTGCCACCTGTGGGTATAGAAGACCCTAAGCCACTGTTGTAATTGAGCCACTTTCAGGCTGGAGATAGGAAGAGCAGAAATCACTGGGCTTAGATCTTCCTACATCATTTGGCAGAGGGCTGAGACATGTCAGTCTTTATGAATTCTATGGCTAATTCAGGTTCCATTTCACTGCCCTAATTGTGGAGCGGGGTTGGGTCAGCTAGCAAGGCTTTGGTGATCTCTTGGAAGACAGATCAGTTAGCTATAATAGTTACCTGGTTATTAAATGAGGGTTAGGTTGGTCATTCAGTGCCCACTAGGGCACTGAATGTGGAGTATGTTTTGAGCGAGTCTGCCAAGTCTTTGAAATTGCCACTGTGGGTGAATCAGCATAGGTGTGTCCTGACTCCAAAGAAGGGACAGGAGCATCTTACTGGATCTTTGTTGAGATTTTCCATTCTAAGTCATCTGGACAGAAAGTGAAATATTTTCTTTAGTTCTTTTGTTTTTTGTTTTGGTTTGTTTTTTGTCTATGCCTGTTGGAGGCTTCGGGTCAAAGATCTGTCTAGCACCCAGTTTGGGATATACATGAGAGATAAGAAGACTATTCAGAGAACTCACTGTGTTGTCATTCCTCAAATCCAGAGGTCACAGTCAGTATTTTTCTTTTTAGCTTTCAGAGTCCTTTTGTTGTTGCCTGTTGACTCATTTCAGGGTAAATTGCATTTAGAAGTAAGGATTAGGGAAAACTGAATCTATACCACTTTGTTACAGAACGCAAATTGGCCGTGGATGTTGAATGTTCTCTAAAAAGGTAATCAAGTATAAACACATTTCGAGTAACACCTATACTATTCCAAAAAACACTTGTCATCAAGTCAACCATTATTTATTATGTGAAGAATTAAGTCAGGCAGTATATGAGATACCAATATTTGTTAAAGACACAAATGATGCTCTTGAGTATTTTCCAGTCTTGCAAGGCTAGTGAAAGGAGGAAGCTAGGGAGGAAAAAGAAAATTAAATCCATATTGTGCCATAGAGAGCTATATGGTAAGTACCATATAAAATTTAATATGAAAGTGGTTTTGAAAAATGTCTCTTAGGCAATGTTGTCAAATAATTTATCATCCGAAGTTGAAAAGAAATGCTATTAAAGCATATGACAGTTTAACATATGTAAATTGGGACTGTCCCAGTAGTCCAAAATATGTGGTCAGCTTACCTTTAAGAAATTTTTGTTTTAATTATTTGTTGTGGAAATAATTGCGAATATTCATATATTCAGAAAACAGTGTAATAAATCCATTCTGCCATCATCTACATTCCATATCTATCAACATATGGGCCAATTTTCATTTTATGTACACTTCCTCCTCTCTCTTTCCTATCAATATTTAAGAGCAAATTCCAAGCAGTTTCTTAGATCCTTCCTTGATCAAAGTGCTAAACACTTTTATTCTATGCTTTTCTCTTTCTCCCCCTTCCCACTGTACCCTCTCATGACCACTCATCCACATGTTTCTTTTCACTTTACTCATAAGGCTGAAGCTCTGATGGTACAACTCTTCCAGAAGACATATCTTTAATGATTATCTTTGCACACTGACCAACTCAGAAGAAGGAGCCATACCAGCTGCGACTCCCGCCCTGACTTCTCTGAACCAATATCTCCATAACTGTGGCTTCATAATGGCTGTGACCAAAGCCCTGTTGAACATGAAGATTTTACTCCTGCTACACTGGCTTGGCGTGTTTTTGTCCTTTTCTGGACACACCCAGGCTGAGCATCCTCAATACCATAGCCCCCCTGAGGTGGTGATACCCTTGAAGGTAACTGGCACTGACAGAGGAATCAACACTCCAGGCTGGCTCTCCTATAGCTTGCATTTTGGGGGCCAGAAACACATTATCCATATGAAAGTCAAGAAGCTTTTGCTGTCTAGACACCTCTCAGTGTTCACCTACACAGACCAGGGTGCTCTCCTTGAGGACCAGCCTTTTGTTCAGAGTGACTGCTACTACCATGGTTATGTGCAGGGGGACACAGAGTCTCTGGTTGCTCTTAGTACCTGTTTTGGGGGCTTTCAGGGAATATTACAGATAAATGATACTACTTATGAAATCAAGCCCATGATGTTTTCTGAAACATTTGAACATCTGATATATAAGATGGACAGCAAGGAGACGCAATTTCCAACCATGAGATCTGGATTTATGCAAAATGAAATAGCATGCCAAATGGAATCTCAAGAAATTGATAATTCCACCCTGATGCAAAGTTCATATGAGGGTTGGTGGGTCCATTTTAGGATTGTTGAAATGGAACTGGTGATTGATAAATATTTATACAATCGCTATGAAAGAAATGACTCAAAATTGCTGGAAGATCTATATTCTGTTGTAAATATAGTAGATTCCATTTATGAAGTCATGGGTATTAAGGTGTTTTTATTTCGTATGGAGATCTGGACTGATAAAAACCCCATTGTAGTAGATGACGTAAGGAAATCTGTGGATCTATTCTGCAGGTGGAAATTGCAAAGCTTTCTTGCTGAGATACACCATGATGCTGCACATCTTTTCATAAATCGGGGATTAAGAGGATTAAGTGGCTTAGGCATGAAGTATGGAGCATGTAAATTAAACCGTAATTGTGCAATTGTTACTTTTATGAACAAAACCTTGGGCGTTTTTGCAATTGCTGTGGCTCATCATTTAGGTCATAATTTGGGCATGAGCCATGATCATTCTGAATGTAAATGTGCACATCCTAAATGCATAATGCACGAAGAAAACCCACCTATAACTAAATTTAGCAATTGCAGTTATGCTGCTTTTTGGTTTTATACTGTAAGGCAGACAAAATGTATGTTTGAACATGTATACTCAAAGGACATCTTTAACCTGAAGAGATGTGGAAATGGTGTTGTGGAAGAAGAAGAGGAGTGTGACTGTGGACATTTGCAGCGTTGTGTACAAGATCCCTGTTGTATGCCAGACTGCACGCTGACTCATGGGGCTTCTTGTGCTTTTGGGCTTTGTTGCAAAGACTGCCAGTTCTTACCATCAGGGGAAGTGTGTAGAAAGGAGGTCAATGAATGTGATCTTCCAGAGTGGTGCAATGGAACTTCTCATAAGTGTCCAGATGATGTATATGTGGAAGATGGAATTCCCTGTAAGGACAGAGCTTACTGCTATGAAAAGAGATGTAGTGACCGCAATGAACAGTGTAGGCAGATTTTTGGTGGAAAGGCACAGAATGCAAATGAGACTTGTTACACACAAGTGAACATCCGAGGTGACCGTGTTGGTCACTGTGGTATGAAAGGTTCCTCATATGTAAAATGTAATATCTCAGATGTCCTGTGTGGAAGAATTCAGTGTGATAATGTGAAAGAAATTCCCTCTATGACTGATCATACTACTGTGCATTTGGCTCACTTCAATGATGTAACGTGCTGGGGTACTGATTACCACTTTGGGATGAATATACCTGATATTGGTGACGTGAAAGATGGCACAGAGTGTGGTCCAGAACATATCTGCATCCACAGGCGGTGTGTCCATATAGCTGCCTTGGATAGTGATTGTTCACCGAAATTTTGTAACATGAGAGGCATCTGCAACAATAAGCATCACTGTCATTGCAACTATTTGTGGGACCCTCCCAACTGTCTGATAAAAGGCTATGGAGGTAGCATTGACAGTGGCCCACCCCCTAAGGTAAAGAGAAAAAAGAAGTTTTGTTACCTGTGTCTATTGTTGCTTATTATTTTGCTTATTTTATTATGTTGTCTTTTTTGGCTTTGTAATAAAAAAAGGCCTATGAAAAAACAGCAAACTGTTCAGGTTATACCTGGAAAAGAAAAGGAAACAATTCAGAGTCAAGCCAGCAGCAGGTTGCCATCCCTGGGTCACGATGAGAAACAAAAGCAACCTGGAAGAGAAAAGGAAGGGACTCAGAGTCAAGCCAGCAGCAGGTTGCCATCCCTGAGTCACGATGAGAAACAAAAGCAACCTGGAAAAGAAAAGGAAGGAACTCAGAGTCAAGCCAGCAGCAGGTTGCCATCCCTGAGTCACGATGAGAAACAAAGGCAATCTGTACCAATTCCAAAAACTGTATCCAAAAAAAGTATCCATTAAAAAATTAATTCCTAGTATGTTTCTACTTACTCTTAATTATTTTAAATAATTTGAAGATTCATTTTTCCTAAATTTGCTTCTTTATACTTCCTGGAAAAAGGCAGGGCACATGCATGGTCTACCAGCTTTTAAGTTGCTGCCTCTCAGCTCCCAAACTGCTTCCCCTGTTGTACTCTGCTTTATGGGAACCACGTTTCTGCTGTACCAGCCCTCTCCCTGCAGGGTTCTGCAACAGGGAGAATGAGTAGGACTTTAGAAACCTGGGAGATCTGGTTCCTTCCTTTATGTCAGTGTTTCCTGAATAACAAGTTTTACACTGGCAGCAACACTTGGGTTTAATCTGCCCCCACTCTTTTTGTTGTTGTTGTTCACTCCAAACCAACCTCACCGTCAGCCTTAGAGAGAGTCTGGCATAGCTGTCTGGTGTGTTACCCTCAGAGTTCTGAATCCCAGCTCTTTGAGCGCTTTACTGATATCCCAAACTTCTAGAGCCAGTTTAGCAACACCTACTGAGTTCTGAGTCTCAGGTCAATGGGGCTAGTCCCACAGCCTTCTAGGTTCAAGTAACCTCAAGCTTTTCCATTTGTTCCTCAGCTCCATGAATGAAATCACTCTCTTGCAGTTAGTGTTTTATATTAGGTCATTAAATATGAAATGTCTGATTTCAGATCAAAAACGTAGTTTATTGTATCTCAAACCAGAATGAGTACAATTAATAAAATATGCATGTAAACTATCAACACAGTTTTGCCATCTTAATAGTAGCTTGTTTACGCCAGCAGTGAAGAAGCCTGGAGAGCTAGTGGCAATGAAATTGCAAAAGGCATTTTCCACAGCTTGTTGAGAATTGGATAATTTCCTTGCAGGAAGTGGTCCAAAGCCTGGAAGAAGTGGTAGTCAGTTGGCACAAGGTCTGGTGAATATAGTAGATGGCAGAGAGTTTCCAACTCCACCTGCTGTAGTTTGAGCAGCATTGTTTGTGCAACATGTGATTGAGTGTTGTCTTGCAAGAGGATTGGCCTGTCTGTATTGACCAATCTTGGCTGCTTCATTGCAAACATCCTCATCATTTCATCCAATTGGGTGCAGTAGACATCCACTGTAATTGACTGACCAGCTTTCGTGAAGCTGTAGTGGATAATACCAGCTCTGGACTACGAGACACTATTAGCATTTTTTTTTTTTATGAATATTCAGTTTTGGTCTGTGTTTTGGCACTTCATCTTTATCCAATCATTGTGCTGAATGCTTGCAATCATCAAAAAGAGTCCTTTTTTTGTCACATGTAATAATACAGTATAGAAATGGATCTCCTTTATGTGGTGACAGCAAAGAAAGGCAAGCTTTGAGACGATGTCTCTTCTGATGCTCGTTTAATTCATGCAGACCCCATCTATCCAGCTTCTTTACCTTGTCAGTTTTTTTCAAATGGTCCGGTATTGTTGGAATAGTAACATCAAACCTTGCTGCTAATTCACACTTAGGTTGAGATGGATTCATTTCCACCACAGCTTTCAGCTCATCATTATCCATCTTGGTCCCAGCTCATGCCCATGGCTCATTTTCAAGACTAAAATCATCAGAATGGAACTTCTCAAACCATTGATGTACTGTGTGTTCATTAGACAAATCCTTCCCTATTTTTGATCTATCACTGTGTTGATATTTCGAGCTGTCTGTCCTGCATGGGTTCCATGGGAGAACTCATATTAAAAAGTAATGTAACTTTTGACTTACCTATAAAAAAATTTTAAAAATAATCACAAGCCAAAACATATTTGCAAGACTGAGGGTGTACCTTCACAATAAAAGTAAAACAAGAAATGTCAGAGATAGCAACTGTCAAACTTAGTACTTAAGGAAATCAGACATTTCATACTTAAAAACCCAATATTTGATAACCAATTAGTAGCATGGGGTGTTTGCTCTAATTTGTTCTTTTCATCAACAGCTATTAGCCCAATTGCTTATAATTAATTTTGTCCCTCTGAAATCACTGATGTGGTTTCTCTTTTTCTGACTGGACCCTGAGTGTTAAAAGTACTAATCTTGGCATAATGGAGCAAAGCAGGAGTGAGGAGGTATCGCATTTTTTTTTTTCAATTTGCTTTTGGTTTTTAGTTTTTCCTTACTACTTTCCTCCACCATCTTGGGAAAATTACTTAAATTTATAGACAGTCTGTGTCAAAATAAGGTGGGATGATAATAACGATTCTGTCTCAATTTCTGGGTTCATTTTGTTACAAAATTGCTGGTAACGTGGCCAACGTTCCCCGCAAAAAAAC